GTTACAACTATTTAAGATGCCATCTCTCTATGGCAGGTAACCAATGTGGCTTTGCTAATGGTGAGTCACAAAATTGAAGCCCTCCTTGAATGGCTTCCTGCAATTATTTTCTCTCATAAGAAACCATTTGGCATAGTCAACATATATTAATTATGAACATCTAACTTTCTAATTCTGATTTATCATCAAAACACAGGCTAATGATTATGGAGAGAAAGAAAGAAACAATTCTGACAGAAAGAAAGTTAACCATATTGGAAAATGTTGTGTAATGCAGTAGTTCATTACAGCCTGTCTTTTTCATTACTCTGTAACACTCATAAATAAGTCAGGGGGTGGAGGAACATGAAAAAATGGGATACCAGTTATATTTGCCATAATGCTATATAAATGGATGTAGTCTATTGATATTTTAATAGGCCTTCTCCCAAATTATATTGGAAACAGGAATCTCAATTGCAGCTAATCATCTATGTGCAGACAAGGCATTTTTTATTATGACTTACACAAGGATCCAACTCAATTTCATATCATTCTCCCAATCATCCTTTTAAGTCCTAGCCTTAGCATCCATGGGTATTTCTCCAGACAAATGTAAATAACAGGCACTTACCCAAGGTAGACAGATTGCCAATTCTAGAACCAACTGCATGGTTTCTTTTATTTTTTTCACCATGATTTATCTTGTGAAGCCTTTTGGCAATAGCAGAGTTTTACAGTAGAAAAGATGGATGGTTGTATTCTTTTATCAGGGAAATAGTTCAAATCTTAGCAAAACAATGAGATTGTTTCTCTGTGTTTAATGCAATGTGTGTGGGAGATGAATGTATGCAAATAACAATTCAGCTTTTATTGTATCAGAAAATAGCTTTTTCAATGAACAATTTAAACATTCCAAGACTGGTCTTAGCAAGAAGAAACTGAGAAGAGCAGCCATGTAATAAGATAGGAAAATAAAATAGAAAGGAGGAGGGACTATCAAGGAAGAAAATGGAGGCAATTTCAAATAATATGAAGGGTGCAGAGTAGCACCCTCACTTCTCCAGCTCTGGGAGATGCCTGTAGATGGAGGAAGCCAGCAGAGGGCTACAATGCTTCTCTTTGCAGCTAGGTCATAAGAGGAGCAGGGAATATGATGGCAACAGCTTTGGAATCTCTCAGCTCTCAGGGTGCCTCTAGCTCCACCTGCTGTGTTATCTCACTTATTTTTCCCAGAGCCTCTATTCCTTCATCTGTCAAAAGGATAAATCCAGCTCCCTCACAGGATCCCTATGAAAACTGAAAGACATGACCCAAAAGAATATCTACTATGTCACTTGCACAGAGGTGAGGTGCTAATAAATGGTATTTGTCATGATTACCTCTTAGGTCAAGATTTATTTCAACTAATATTTTTTCCTGACTATAAAAGTTACATCTTATCATCATGGAAAATATTTCCTTTTTGTCCTCTCCGTCATAAAATATGATTTCTCCCTCTAATTAGGACATTCTCTGCACAATAAAGACCTCCACTTCTCCTGCCTCTGGGCGACCAGGAGTTAAGAATCTCCAAACTTGAGCTTCTAAGCCTTCTCTGCACAGTACAATCACCTGGGGCACTTTTGAAAATCAAGAATGCTGAAGCCCCTGATTAATTTATCTGGAAGACTTCATTCCGAGATTTCTGAGAGTGACACAGGGGTTCTAATGTGCTTGGGTTTGAGCCCAGGGCTTCATCCTCTAGTGTAGGCGGAGCTGGGCTGGTGAGCAGAGGTGGGGTGAGTCAGGCTTGTGTCTAAGTAGCTGGTGAGCATCAGCCCTCAACTTCAGTCCCTATTTTTAAAGAATCTCTTAAGGAGTGAAAACATTTTATACTCTGTGAAGGTGAGTGGCATTTGATATGGGGTATCTTTTAAAAACAGTCCAAAACCAGCTAACTCAATATAACATACGCCATTTTTCCCATTTGACCTTCATCCTCATTAACAGCTGTCAATGAGTTGACATATTTTATTTCCCTTAGAAGAGAAGACAAATTTCTCCCTAAAGAGTATGTGCCCATCAAGAGGATGGCTAAGGTGGCACGTGGACCATCAGCATCCTTTCCTTTATCCTCAAAGCTCGGGCCGTGCTCTGGGTGGGTCACATATCTATCCCTATGTTTGGTTCCTTCAACTTTGACACTAGGTTGCCCTGTTGCTCCATATTTAATTGTGGTTTGTTGTGTTTTTTTTTTTTTGCCCCCAAAATTCTGGGAATGTAATGTGGTTTTTTTTCTTTGTATTTAATGACAAGTGGGTAGTACTTTGTTGGAACTATATTTTTTTAAACGCTTCATTAACAAACCTTTTAATCAAATTCTTCTCTAGAAATTAAAAGTTGACTTGACTGAAACTAGACCCAAACCTGACTTACCTGAAAGTTATACTGTGTTCCAGAAAGTCTGTTAATTCTTATAGGGCTCCATTCAGGGGGAAGAAGGATTAAATCACCCACCTACTCTTTCCACCAGGCTGATGAAAACACTGTGTTGTGTTACCTCCTCTGCACAGCTCTGCAGAAGCAGTTAACTGATAAACACTGACCCACCCACCAGCTCTGTTGACATTAATCAATTATGCTAGTACCAGACAAAAAATGGTGAGCAGTGGGAACATGCTGTATGAATTCCTATTGCATCAAAATAACTACATTGATTTCAATTCCATTTTACAAAGGAAAAGAAGAAAGGGAGTTTCCAGACAAAAAAGCAAGGGAGAGAAGGAACCAAGAGAGTATTTCTTGGTTATTTATTTATTTTTTTTAGAAATGTTTGCCTTGGAGCATACTAATTTAGAACGCATACTTGGACCTTACCTACTCTCAATAAAGTTTTTTAAAAATGTAGAACCAATTTAAACAGGTTGGGGAAGGCTGTTGGTGTGTTACTGTAGCAACAGTCATCCCCAAGACGCATCATAAACTAATAAGTTAACTAGATACACCTTGTCCCAACCAGCCAGCATAAGGCATGAAAGTAAACTGCTGTGAACCACTGGCAACTCTGCTGAGGCAGGAACGTGCAAACTGGTTCACCAGGGAAGCCGATAATCCAATTTAGAAGTGCAGATTCTCATTTCAGTTTCATTGGCATGTTCATTTTGAACTAAAGGCATCTGAGCAGTAATTCTATAAACAACCAGCATTTAGAAATCAGAGGCAACAAGATTCTCTAGAGGTATCATTGCTTTTAAACTAGGCAACCTGAAATTGTGTCTGCCTGGGAGAAGTGCAGGGGGGCAGGAGGGAATCTCAGCTGGGAAAATGAGCAGCTGGCCAAAGCATGCCACAAGCTGGGCATGGTTTAGGTATCTCAATTTACCAAATATAAAAGGGGCTGTGGTTGTGGCTCAGTGGCAGAGTGCTTGCCTCGCCTCACACATGTGAGGCACTGGGCTTGATCCCCAGCACCATGTAAAAATAAACAAAATAAAGATACTGTGTCCATGTATAACACACACACACACACACACACACACACACACCCCAAATAACAGAATTCAATTCAATAACAATTCAACAAGGATTTTCATAGCACTCACAATTATACTAGGTACTCATTCATTTTTATATAAACTACATTTTGTAATTCAAACCACAATTTGTAATATCAGGAAAACTGACGATATAAATTAGTAAAACAAACCTTGTTTGTGATTTTAATCACAACTCGGTCATGAAAACTTTGGAAGGTCACATAACCTCTCTCATCCTAGTGACACCATCTCTATAATGGTGGCGAAAGTTTCATCTACGCCATGAGTTATGAGCATGCAATAGAACAGCCCGTGCATTTATCATCATTCTCAGTGGAATGCTGGCCCTGGTATTGGTAGCTACTGTCTATCCTTTGGATTCATCTATCCTTTCTTTGAATACAAAAAAAAGATTCTATTGACCATGACCATGTAGACAGTCTCCATCATAGAAAAAGAAATGCTGCAACAAAAGAAAGACAAAAGATGGGTAACATTCTCATTCCTGTTTTGAGGTGGAGCTCTGTAAGCAATTAGCACCATTGAACGACCTGAATGCCTCAGGAAGAATATAAAAATTTAAAAGGTTCTCAGAGGAGCCAAATAATAAAAACAATAGGAAGCCACTTTAATCAGCCCTTTGCCCCTGACTCTGCTTGGGCAAGGTCACCAAAGTCCCCATGGGGCAGCCCTAGACTTGTTCGTCATTCCCTCTCCATAGTGCCCTTCCTGTCCCTGGTTTCCAGGGCACCTGTTCTCCTAGTTTTCCTTCCTGTATTCCTGGTCATGTTTTGGTTCCTCGTCTCCTAACTATAAAAATTGTAAAAACCTTAAAATCTCAGTGCTGGGTCCTCTTCTCCAGCTACTGTCATCCCCTTGGTGATCTCATCCAGTCTTGTGGAATCAGATATGCTGACGGCCCTCCCATCTTTATCTCCAGCTTTGACTTCCCTGACCAGTTTCCACCCTGACATCTAAAAAAGACATGCCAAAGCCAACACGTCTGAACTAATCTAAACCTTCAGGTCTTCAAGATTTGTTCTACCCCAGTCTTCTCCCCTGCGGCCAGTGGAAACTGTATCCTTTCAGTAGAAACTCCCTTGGCCCCTCTTTCTTTCACATTCCACAGCCAGTCTTTTCAAACCTTCTGTTGGCTCAACATTCAAAATATACCCAGAATCCAACTTCTGCTTCTTACCTCCACTGATACCACCTGTTGTGGTCCTAATGCCTCCTGCCTGGATAACTGCATTAACCTCCTAATGGGTCTTCCAAATTTGGCCTTTGCTCCTGCACGATCTGCTTGCATCATGATAGAGTGATCCTTTTTAAGTAGGTCAGGCCATTAGCTCCTCATCTTGTTCAGATGATAAGGCCCTACTGACCTAACTCCCATTGTCCCCTAATCTCATCTCCTTCTATTCAACCTCTAATTCATTTCCCTCTAGTCACATTGATCTCATTTCTAGAATGTTCCAGGCATGCTTTTTTTTAGGACCTTACCTTAATTGTTCCCACTGGCTGTCCTCTACATGAATCAGAAGACAATGATCCATCTCGATGCAGGGATACATCCTGACTAATCTAAGTCAATCGGAGCAAGATGTTTAACCGATGACAGTCTCTGTTCCTAGGTGGTAGGCCACTCCAGTTACACTGAAGGGAAGAACTTTGAGGCCACACTTGGAAGATGACTTTCTCTCTTACTTGAACAAGAAAATATGAAACTCAGATTACCACTAGCAGTCATCTTTCAATCACAAAAGGAAACATCTTTATTAGGACCAGATTAGAGAGACAGAAAGAAACTATGTATTCCATGAAGTCATTAAGACCTGTTCACACCATGTCCTAAACTAGCCTGTCTTATCCATTCAGGCTGATATAACAGAATACCAGAGACAGGGTAGCTTCTAAAGAATAGAAGGTGACAGCATATTGCTCTCTAGTGAAAGCCTGCTTTCTGATTCATAGACAGCACCTTCTAACCTTGTCCCCACATGGCAGAAGGGACAAGGAGTCTTTCTTGGTGTTCTTCTACAGAGCACTAATCCCATCCCTTAACAACTCCACCCCTATAACCTATTAAAAGTCTCCTCTTCTTAATACAATTACCTGGTGGGGGGGTGTAGGGTGAGGATTTCAGCATACAAATTTGGACAGGGAGACACAGGACAGAAATTTCACACCATAGAAAAGCCTCGTCTCTGGACTTGTAGTTCTATAACATAAGAAACACCTTTAAGCTAGTTTGAATTAGGCTTCTGTTGTATTCTAAAGATACAGGGTTAATAAAGATGTCACACATGAAAAGTGAGAGTTAGGGTCAAACCAATTATGCCTGCCAGATTCCACTAATGCTTAGACCTCGATCCCTGGCATGATTTAATATCTACATAATGGGAATATTAATTCATGTGCCATGTAGTATTTCAACCATTAAAAAAAGTTTATTAATAATAAAACACCGCATAAGCATTAATTACTTCAGATCTTCAAGTGTTTCATTATGAAGCATCAGGTAAATATTTTAAAAAGTAAAAGTTATAAAGGCCATTCAGATGGAAGAACTTTTTGTCTTAGTGATTCCTTCACATTCCAAGCCCATCTCACCTGAAACACCTGCAGCTCCATCTTGGAGACTGATGCAGATGGTGACCGCTTCTATCCCCTCTCTGCGGCCACCATCATCCTGGCCTGAACCACCACCATACTTCAGCAAGATTATTGCAACAGCTCCCCATCTCATCTCCTGGTTTTTATTCTAGCCCTTTAAAATCTATTTTCCTCACAGAAACCAGAGAGATCTTCTGGAAACACAATTCAGATCAGGTCGCTCCTCAACAGCTCCCAACTCCCCTGAAGTCACTATCTGGCCCTGCTCTCTCCTTGACTTTGTCTTCTCCTCCTTCTCCCCACTCATCCCTTGTTCCTTCTTGGTCATCAAGCAAGTTCCTGCCTCCTGGCTCCTCTGCCTGGAATATCCTCCCCTGAGAAATCCAATTGGTTTTCTCTCTTTCTTCCCCAGTGTGTACTCAAGATAGCATCTTAGCAGGGAGACCAGTCCTCATCATCCCACATAAAACACGGCAATCCACATCCCCAAAGCCCTCTGCCCTTACCTTGCTTTCCTTTATAATATCTGCTGTTTCATTTATTTATTAAGATTTTCATTGTTATTTTTCTTCCTCCTCCAGGTAGAGGGAAAGTTCCATGAGAAGAGATAAATGGTTTAAAGCACTGCTCTATCCCCAGTACCTAGAAGAGCATGAGCACATAGTTCACACTGAAGTTACCAAAGAGGCGAAGTTACTGAAGAGGCGAAGCTAAGTCAAGGCACCAGCCTGGAGCGCTGCCTCTGCTGTACCATTTATTCTAGAACCCCATCCCCAGTTCACAGCAAAAGGTTAGCTCAGCAGGTCTGGCCTGTTCAAGCCCTGTACTCTGCCACAGGATGGACTGGTCCATGGATCAGCCCTGGGAGGTAAACCCTGAGATAACTTGCTTGATGGAGCGTCTTGGACCTGGACCCACAGACCACAGCATCAGTGAATGTCTATTTTTTTTTTTTTGGCCTGAACCCTGGCTTACACAGTATCAATTTGACCTCCCAGGCTGGTCACTCAGTACTAAAGGTCAGTCACACAGGTACTTTATACCTATAGGATTGACCCCCAGTAAAAACCCTGGACACCAAGGCATGAGCCTTCCTGGTTAGGAATGTTTTACACATTGTCACATGTCGTTGCTGGGCGATGGAGCACTGTGTGTGATTCCAGGGACAGAGGACAACTGGCAGCTCCTCTGGAGTTCCCTGGATTCTGTCCTAGGTGCCCATCTCCTTTGCCAATTTTAATCTTTATCCTTTCGTGATTAAGCCATAAGCATCAGTAAAACAGCTTTCCTGAGTCCTGGGAGTCCTTCTAAGAAAATGTCATACCTGAGGGTAGCCGTGGGGACACCCAGCATTTAGTCCATTGTCTAGCATACAGTAAGGAGCAATAAAGTCTGTTTGGGTGACTAAGTCATTGAATGGTGTAGACAATGGGTTCATCAGAACTCCTTCCTGTCCACTCTCTCACTCTGCCTGTCACAGTAACACTTTTCTCTCCTGTTCTTTATTTCAAACACCAGATCTCACTGCTGTCTAATAAAACAGCAGCCCTTCTACCTGTCACTAAACATAAGAAGAGTTGGCAGAGATGTAAGATTTGGAGATCAAGACCATTTGGGTAAACAGGGCTTTGCCTCTGCAGATCGTCTTCTCTGCATGGGAGAATTTGCTTTGCTGCCTCCATCCTGCCCTTTGACCTGGCTAGAACCAGACTAAAAAGGAATGCATCCCCCAAATTGGGCTCCAGCTTCTCCCTACTCTTCCTCATTGAATTAATAATAAAGGAACCTTCTTTGCTTGGGATTTGACAGTCCAGTGATAGATAGGAAATGGCCATGGTCTGTCTTCATTGGACTATGCTGAACTCACATGGAATGACATGTGCATGAGTGAGATTTAATGATGGCAGATGGCCTTCAAGGTATTGAGTGGGTTTCCTCTCGCCCACCACGTTGACATCTATCATTTTAATAGCCACCTAGGAAGAAAAAATATGGTTCTCATTAATACCCTGAGTTTGACCTTGCACTTGTCTTGAATTGAAACTCAATTGTAGCTGAGAATAAAACTATGCCTATTAAAAGAGTGGAGAACCCCTCTTTCCTGGTACTCATTTTTCCCCACAAAGTACAAAATAGAAAGGAAGAAAGTCAGGACTGAGGAGGACAAAGTTATAGTGGGACACCCATTTCTCTTTGAGGAGCTCAAATACAGGAAACTATGAGACATCCTCCCTGACTAGAAGTTAAGGTAACTTTCTTATAAAATCAATTATCTACAGGGAAAAACACATGAAAATAACCTATAATCACAATTTTCCAGAATTAAGAAAATCAAGCTTATTGATTCTGTGAGCTACCTGGCAATCTAATAAGAATTGGGCCAAGCAAGGTGCTGTCTCTTGCAACCTGAGAATCCTAAATGATAGACATCATAGACCACTTTGTTGAAGACGGACCCACCCTATAATCTGTCAAGGGAGGGCTCAACAGAGTTCCACCGATGATTATAAAAACCTCCAGTGTGTGCTAAAATCCCACTGAAGCAATCACAGTCCAGTGGTATTTGTCTTTGTACTACATGTGGGTAGAAGATAGGGTAATATATTCATTGTTAAGTAAATGAACAGTACAAACAGAGATGAGATTTTCACTGGTTAAGTATGAAAGCCAGCAAACTTTTAAACACTCATAAGACAATTCTTTTCCTTGTGGATGGGCTGATGGAATAAGTAGCTGTTGCTTCCCGCATCTGAATATAATAGAATTTCCTTATGAAATCTATAAATCTGGCTTTGTTTTAAAAATTTAGATCAGACTTCCCTTCGATCAAGAACAGTAAGCCCAGTTTAATGGTTACTAGAATAAACTGAGTTTTAAGACAGAACAGAATACATCCTGGGTCTTACATAATATTTTCATTATTCTTTTCCAAAAATTGTAGACTTTGATATACTTATGTTTACAAAATACTTATTAAACATGTATCCTGGGTATATCAAAGTGTGATATCTTTTGAGCCACATAATCCCTACTCCAATGAGTTTCCAACTTAATTTTAGCATTGACAGATCCATGGAAAACAAAGTTAAAAAGCAAAGCAGCAATGAGCCACACACCCAGTCCCCCTACCTTTGAGTCATGAGAAGGTTAAAAATAGATATCTGTATGAGTAGACAGCCATACCATATCAATATTAGAGAAAAGCCATCTTGGAAGACAGAGGAGAGAGCCTAAAAAGGCTTCCCAGGGCAGGTTTCAACTAACATGGAGTTTGTCAGAAAAGCGTGATTTGATACGGTGAGAATGAGGAGGAAACTTGTAGCCTGAGTGAACTGCAAGCACAAAACCAAATGCCGAATGTTTTCTTTGATATAAGGAGGCTGATTCATAGTAGGGTGGGGAGGGGGAGCATGGGAGGAATAGATGAACTCTAGATAGGGCAGAGGGGTGGGAGGGGAAGGGAGGGGGCAGGGGGTTATTAATGATGGTGGAATGTGATGATCATTATTATCCAAAGTACAGGTATGAAGACACGAATTAATGTGAATATACTGTGTATACAACGAGAGATGAAAAATTGTGCTCTATATATGTAATAAGAATTGTAATGCATTCCACTGTCATATATAAATTCTAAAAAATTAGGAAAGCTCATTTCTCCAAGGGGGGAGGCAAGTGGCGAATGTGTCTGCATGTGGGACACATGAGGATGGAGACTGAGGCGGGGCTGGGCTAGTGGCTTGAACAAGCTTTACCTGAGTGTTCCAGGTGTCGGATTTTTTTTAAAGAATTTGGAATTTTGCATAAGTGTAATGCAATATGAATATCATGGGAATAGGACACAAGTTGAAATACAAATTTTATTTATGTTTCACATATACCTTGTGCCCATAGCTGAAGGTAATTCTCTACAGTCTTTTTATCATATTGCGTTTTCACTGTGACCCATTCAAGGGAGGTCAGGTGTGGAACTTTCTACTTGTAGCATCATTGTTGGTACTGAAAACATCCCAGAGTTTACAATTGTGGATATATGGCTCATAGATGTTCAACCTGTACTTTAACTTGAAGGTAATGAATGACAAGTCAAGTGCTGGTGTTTCAGTAGGGACAGAATGATCTGGAATGCATTTTATAAAGGTCATTCTGGCAATTATGTCAAAAATAGGTTGGAGGGAGAAGAAACCAGGAGAAAGACCCATATTTCACCCAAAGCCTGTCTGTCCACTCTGTTGAACAATTAATGGTTGCTGGAGCTTGATTCCTCAGACAGAAGTTGTGAACTCCTGATCCTGGGACAGATCCAAACTCCAGCCATGCTGGGCACAGCCAGATTTGTTTATTTCTGTCTTCATTTGACCCAAAGCTTAAAATGAAGGAATTCTCCATAAGAAGCTAGATATTCCCTTTTTCTGAAAAATCAGAGCCAGCAAAACCGGCCCACAGTTCCAACCAACGTTGAGTAGCGGAGACAACCCTGAACGTGAGGCATCAATAACTGATTTCCACAGCCACACCATTTCTACTGCCACTGGAGTCAAAGCCAAGTGTCTCAGCCACAGTTGTGGGCACATTGCTTATGCTTGCTCATGATGGAGCACACTGCTATGGGACTTATGTAGCAACCAAAAACAAGGAAGTCAGAGGCAGACTGAGAGCAGTTCACTTCCAGAAAAACAGGAGACAGCATATTTCTTTGCAGAAATGATTAATAGTCTATGTTTTTATTGGAAGAACACAGCTTCGGATGCTCTTTTGCTTACACCACACTACTACACTCCTCTATGTTAATCTGTTTTGCATATTAATTTCCAATCGCAAAGGGGCAGTTGAGGGTGGGCCTTCCTGAGAAGTTGATAGCTGAGCTGAGACCTATGGCATGAACAGAAGCTAGATTTATAAAACCTTCTGTTACTATATGGGAATAGCAACTTGGGCCATTCACCAAGATTTCTGAATCTACTTGTATTTTCCTTCTGTAAATGGACTCTAGTGTGCTAAGGATTGGGGGACGCTGAAAAGATGGGAAATGAAATAAGTCCCATATTCATACAACAAGTATTTATTAATCACCCTATTCTTGGCATTCTTCTAGGTTTGGGGAAGCATGGTGCTGATCAAGATAGCTATGTACTAAAGTTTTTGTAATAGCAAAGGAGATCCATTACAGTGAAATGTAAGTGGTCTATGAGTAGAGGTTGGTGTACCAGTTAGAACACACGCAGGGTACTGTGTCAAACAGGAATGCTTTCAGTTGATTGACAGTCAGAGAAGGTTTGACTGATTGTCTTAAACAAATGGGTTAATGGCTCCAGGAAGAATAAATAAATCCAGTAGCCTCAGAATCTGCTGACAAAGAGACAGTTCAGAATCTTGTGAAGATGACATCAGAGGGTGCTGAAGTGATATGGACCGAAATGGCTGTATGCATGGGTAATATGACAGGTATTGTAAGCCACTCTTAGGAATTTGGGATATAAAGGAGAAGAGGGAAAAGAGGAAGAGCTGAAAGTGAGATATAGGATCAAGGAAGAATTTTTTTTTTTTTTACTAGAATTGAGCATATCTAATACCAGTAGGATCAGTACTAATCAGAACTCGTTTGCAAATGACAAACCTAATCTAAATCCACTGAA